TTTTCCCCCCCCCCCCCCCTTTCAAAGAAAGGGAGGGCAGAGAGTATCTATAAGCCCTTTTCTTATGACCCACTTGCACATCCCTTCTGACCACTCAGAAGTGATTGAGTGTTCAATTCTCTTGGGGTCCCTGGGTATTTGAGGAGGATTCTCATTCAGCTTTCTCTTACCACCCTCTGCTTGGAAAATCTAAAAATATTGAGGGTAGCTGCTTAGGCTGCTGGGAGTTCCTGTGGGAAGCAGGAGAAAGGAATGCAAAGTGCAGAGCTGGATTCAGCAGCCAGTCATGAGGTTCCTCATTGTGCTTAACCTCCTTTCATCTTTTTCCAAATCTGGATTTCTTGCCTAATCCCTAGTCAACAACAATATAGACATCCGTCTCCTCCTCTCTCCCTGCCACTGGTGGAAGTTCCAGCTACATCTTCCTATCCTGCCTCCTTTCACCCTGCTGGCTCCCTGTTCTCCAATGACAGGATCCTAGTTCTTTCCTTAACCAGTTTCCTCAATTCTGCAGTTGGCAGTGGTGCAAGTTTTCTGCTTTCTCCCTCTTTCCTTCAGGAGTACCTGCTTCATGCACAAACTGTGTGGTTTCCTTTTTGTGGGGAGTAGGCTGGGAGACGCAGGTGCTTCTCTCAGTCCTACCTTGGCCAACATACTGGACCTTTTCAGGTAGCTGTTGCTGTCCTGGCTCCTGATGTAGGAGTGTAGCTAGCTAGGGATTCAAGATGGACAAAGGAGAACAGTTTCCTTTAAGAAGCAACTATTGGTTGCTTGATTCTTCTAGCCTGCAAGGAGGAGCTAAGCCAGTGAATGAAACCATGCTGCAAAGGAATTCTCCAGCTTGAAATCTAGTAACATTAAGAAAAAAGTTAGATAGGGATTTAGGTCATGAACCTGCTTTCAAATTGTCCAATCAGTGTGCATCGCCTTACAGTTGCATGTTCCTGTTTATTTTTAAATATTTTTCTCACCCTTCTTGCTGTGTGATGAAATGCTTGGAAGAGGGGGATCTGGCTAGTAGGAAACAGGGACACTAAGTATAGACTTAGTGGTATAAGAAGTCAAATGTACAAAACAAAATGAAAATAAAATTGCTCTTTTATCCCTCATGAGCAGCAGGTTGCTGGGGGTCACTGTTCTTAGATGTCACTTGTACAATTGGAGGTACAAGTTTTTTTTCAGACAGAAATATTAATTTTAATTTGACAAGGAGTGACCTTTTTTGAACTGGCAAGTTTTATACCAGAAGCAAGCCAAACATAGTTTAGTTGGTTGTGATTTAGTGCACTAAAAAACCTGCCATACAAAAAACTAGAGCTCTTGGTTCAAAGGAAGGGACTTTGATCCCGAAAGCTTGCAGAAAAGGACAATTTTCTTGCCATTTTCCAGTTGGTCTAATAAAGGGTATCATTTTGGAACCAAGAGCTCTAGTTTTTTGTATGTCTTTTTGTCTCAGACCAACACGGCTACCAAATACACCCTTAAAAAAACTGAGCTTTTTTCTGCCCAGTGTTAACCCAGAAGACCTTGTGTTTTCAGAGTGAGAATTGGGTCTGTTTTCCATGTGGATAGAGCCTGAGGCTTCCACTGGAGGGCTACATTTTTTGTTGAGTCTGCATAATTCTTTTGTGACATGAAATGGAGCTGTAATTGATATACTGCACCTCCATATGGTATCATCTCATGTGCTTGTGCATGTTTGCTGGTTTGGATGGGGTTTGACATTTACTAAAAGGATATGGAAACAGTAACACACACAGCCTCCTTTGGTGTTGGTAAGACACACCTGAAAGGAGAAGAGTCCACCTATTGCATCCTGTCTACTATTTTCTGTGTGGAGCTGTGATGGTTCTGTTTTAGTGCTTCAGTTCCCATAACATTAGGCTTCTATGCTGTGCCAAGTTACACATGCTAAAGAATAACAGTGTATTGTATAGCAAAACCTATGCAGTTGTCCTGTGGACAATGTCATAAATTACCAGGGTACAAACTCTGGCTAGAAGTCAATCCCTGATTTCACTTTACATATTTTGCTGGCATCTAATTTTAATTTCTGCAAGGTGAATTCATCTTGTGTTCCTCCTCAGATTTTCTTGGAAAGTAGAGTTCAAAAGCAAAGCAATAAGGATTCTATTGAAAAAGTTTCTACTCGTGCCCTATGTACAAAAAACTTTATTATAAGTTTATGCTGGCTAGCTTTATTTTAAAACAATATACATTTACAATCCTTGTTCTGTGGCTTTTTCATCTTTTAAATTCAGTTTCAAGGAAAATTAGCTTTTTATTTTTTAAAGCAGCAACATTTGAACATAAACAGCTGCTTAGTTACTGGTTTCTCTCTGCAACAGTTTGAAATACCTGCCAGTTAAATTACAGTACCAACTTTGAAACAAGACCAAAGTATGTTATTAACAAGCAGCTAGAGCACAGTTCATCTTAAGGCAGGCAGCCCAGCAAATGTTCCTGTCACTTGTCTGGAATGCTAAGTATTAGCTGCAGTTAAAGGTTGCTTGCAGCAGCCAGGGGCCTTAAATTTTTGGCCAAACAAGGAGTAAGGAAATTTAGGGCCATATACAGGCGTTATATTTCTTTGTGGAGAGTCACCACTATGGAGCACTAAGGGCTGGAGTCAGTGCATTTGTGTGTAGCATATTAATTCTCTGGCCACACTCTACCTCGTCTGTTGCCTGCCTCCGCTCATGCCTGGAGAGCTGTAGTAGAATGTACAGAAGACTGCAAAACCTGCTCTGCATAGTCGTCTTTCCCACTCTGCCTTCTTGAGCAGATGGGGCTCATGTTTCAGTCTTCAATTGCCTGTTTTGATGTCTTTAGATTAATAAATTAGATGCACGTGGAGGATTTTGACTCAGGAAATTTACGCAGATATGAAATGGAAGTGTAATGGGATTACCCCAAAGCACACATGCACCCTTTTCATGTTCAGGGAGCTGAGCTGTTATCTTTGGTTTTGTGCTAAGTATTTATAATCTATTTTGTGGTCATTAAAACTTCCATAAAGCACTTAATATACTTGCTGCAATTGGGTGGTTAATTTCTGCTGTTTTTGAAGTGGCTAATTTATTTTTCCTTAATATTCAGTGCCTTTTAGATATCTAGAATTGTTCTTCAAATTATTAAACATTTCAGGTCTATACAAAGAACATGTAGCACCTTGTTTATTAGACAAAGAAATCTCTCTCACTTCTTTGGCATAAAAGACCACTTGGTCATTTTCCCCAAGATTTTATTTTTAATAGCTGTATTGAACAGAGTAATCTAATTTAAAGGATAAATGACCACAACAAAACTAAGAATCAATTTAAAAATCCTCTTGGTAGATGCCTTTTGCCTCCTTGGACTTCTAAAATGAAATGTTTAATTGATTCATAAACAGTTACTGAAAGAATTTGGTGTTGGCAGGGCAGGCTGACCATACTGGTTTGCAGCACTGATATGTACCTTCCTATTGGGCAAACCATTTTTAAAACATTATTTTTGGAGCGGCACTTGTGGTTGATGTAAAAAACGTAAGACTTATCTGTTTCTGTTTTCACTGGGGCACTGAGCACAGTGCTGAACAGGACTGTTTCTCATGTTTTGCAGTGTGTGCGCTATTGGAAGAGAAACATCTGGAAAAGGGCTCAGGTTAGAATGAATAGTCACATTCTGGTTGTGGTGACTTTGTTTTTTCCCTGTTACAAATGCTAATTTGTGATTTTTGGCCTGTTTTAGTCCTCCGTTTTGTTGGGATTCATACTCTGTTATGTAGTTCGTATATTTACTCAGATGGCATTGAAAAATACACTTTGAGCAACCTTAGCTGATAACAGTGTTTTTCTGTAACTCCACTTTGGACTTAGCTATGTAGGTCCTTCCCCTCTGTGTTCAGAGTACTTTGCTTATTACTAAGCTGCACTAAATTATGGTGAGTATCTAAAAGAATTCTAAAAAATGGGTAAGTAGAAATTTGTTTTTTAATTCCTTCATTAGAATGGGATGTCGCAAGTTTTGATCGTTACACGATGATAATAGCAAAGCGCCTGCAGGTCCTGTCCCTAATACTCTCTGAACCTCATTAATATTGAATTCCTACCCGAGTTGTTGCCTTTGGATATTTATAGAATGACAGCAATGATTATATTATAAAATGATTTTCAAGGAAATTAACTATCATGTTTAAACAATAGTGCTGCATTGAGATGTGTTATGTGCAACTTCGAACTGTTGGCCTAAAAATTATTTCATTACAGTAAATATTTCTGTACCTGTTGTTAGTTCAAATATAAAGTAATCAAAACCATTATAGGTATATGTTGTTTTAGTAGGATTGGAGTGTTGTTTTCAGGGGCGACGTGTAGGGGGTGCACGTGGCGGTGCACCCCCTGCAAAAAGCTCGCCACCCCACTGCCAACACCGCCAGTGGTGGTGCAGCTTGCCACTGCTGCCCACGCTGTGGTCGCCAACCTCTGGTCGGCGCTCACCATCCCCTGCCGTCGACAGTGCTGGCAGCATCTGCAGGAGCTCCCAGCTTACCGCTGCCAGGTTCCCGCCGTCGCCAGCACAGCCATGCCCTCCCCAGCCGCTGAGGGCATGCACCGTTCATGGTTGTTTTAACGTCACTTGTTGTTTTATGCGATTTTTCAATAATTTGGTATTGGAAAGGACTTCTGTATTTGCAGGTCATTAAAACATTATTATAAAACCATTTTTACATTAAATATTTAAGAAACTTTTGTAGTAGTACCCAGTGGCCCAAAACAGCCTGGGGCCCTATAGGGATATGCACCAAATAAATGTAGAGATTGGCACAGTCTTTTCCATTTTAAAGAGCTTAATATTTAAAAAAATGTATGAAGATAATATCATGGGTATTTTTTAGATGAGAAAATAAGGTTCAGTTTCTCTCCAAATACTATAGAAATATTTAGTTACGTTACTTTGGCAATATGGTAGCTGTTTTTGGAGCATAAGCTGGTCGTTTTTTAATGAAAACTGCTGTGGTGTGTTTTCTGCGATCCATCACGATTAAGAAGCACACAACTTGGATAGATATCATCTCTTGTGATCATTGATCTCGTTGGACTTGATCCTTTGTTCATTGAAGCCAGTGGCAAAGTTTCCATTAACCTTTAATGGTGCAGGATCAGAGCCATAATTCTGATACAGGAAGTCTAGACTTGCATTCTGTGAAAATGTAGTTTCAACAGCTGTATTTGTTGGCCTAACCATAAATACATTTTGTGCACTAAGGTATGTATTTGTATACGAATTCCAAACCACAAAAACATATTAACCTGGGTGGAACATAAAGGGAAACGTGCAGTTTTTGGGATGTAAACCTTAGTTTTACTTGAATTTTAAGACTGACGTAAGATTAACAGTTATTGTTGATAGATTGTCAGGGACCATTCAAGGATTATCCTGCCAGTTTCTTTGTTTTGCAATCTTTCAACTTCCAGATCATTCTTAGGAAAGGGTTAGCAGCAGTAAAATCCAAGCCTTTGCCTCATAACTGTATCAGCAGCATATTTTCATTGGTCATTGACATGTACTTTCTTTGTCCTACCTCCATTAAGAACACACTAGGTTTCATTAGATTAGTGGGATGCTGACAGGATAAGCCAGTCATAAAGCCTTAAGTGCTGGTTTACTAGATGTTAGTTTGTAAAGCTAATGAGGGTCTGTAGTTTTTCATTAACTTCACCCTTAGTTTAATACCCTGTGCCTCCTGTATTAACTCCTTTTTTGGTAGCTTCATGAATGCATCCAGATATGTAACAAAGTGAGCAACTTTAAACTAATTTGAACAGTTTGCTTTACAAATAAATGTGCTGGATTGCTTATCTGAGGAGCAGTACCATAAGTTGGAATGATCAGGCATAGTTATTAACTGTTATATGATCTCTAAGCATTTGTTTTCCTTTGGTATTTCTAGATTTAGTTCACAGTGAACTCAGGCAAAGCACATGTATGTTCCCATGGTACAATAAACAAAATGATAAACTATTCGTATTGTAATACAAAAACTTGATCAAAGAAAATTTTTCTACAGCTTTGCATTTTATTTGTGCCGTAGGTTTTCCATAGTGTAATCAAATGCCACTTTTGCTTTATATGAAAGAAGAGTCTTTGTCTCAAGTGAGAAATATATAGTTAATACTTAGTCATTTTTTAAATAGTTTCAAATTGCTACTTGATAACTCATGCAAGTGTAGGTGTGATAACTTGGCCCAAGCTGTGAACACTTACTAAAGTGTAGGGTTTAAACCAGCCTCGGGACCTGGCAGGGTTCCTGTATTTCAGTGTACTTTGACTGTTTGTTCAATTTAGTTTCTGTGCCTCCACCTAAGAGTTCACAGGCAGCTGCAGCAATCGTTTTTTTAAATGTGAAGCTGAGCATAATTAGAACCCCTCAGTATTTTAACAAGGTGTAAAAGTTACTGCATGAAAGGTATGTCCCTTTCATCTATGACCTGAAGAAGAATGCATTGCATTCAAAAGCTTGTCTAAGTCTGTCCCACTAATACAGTTGGTATTATAGGTATCACCCACAAAAATCCTGGCCTCTCACATGTCCCTTTGAAACATTTATATTTTTTTTAGGGCTGTGTGAAGCTTTGGTCTCTGATTCGATTCGGCAGAAATTTGGCCTGATTCGGTGGCCAAATCTCCGAATCGAATCCAAGGACCCTTTAATCTCTCTGAATCAATTTGGAGAGATTCGGAGATTCAGATATAGAGACAGCTTTAAATGTTTTTTTTACATACCTCTAGGTAGCAGGGGCTCGTGATTGCTGTGATGCTGGGGCACATGAAGTGTCCCACAGAAATGCGGGGGGCTCCCCAGCACGCTTGGCAGCCGACCTGGACATGGACCAGAAGCACTTCCGGTCCACTTCCAGGTCTGCCAGGAAAGTGTGCTGGGGGGGGGCCCCCGGCACCTCCCGGCTTGGTGACTGGTGCCTCCTGGGTCTGGGGGAGCACCCAGGGTCCCCCCATGGCCGTTCACCAGGGCATGGGGGTGCCCCCCAGCACGTTCCCCAGCGGACCTGGAAGTGGACCGGAACTAGTTCCGGTCCACTTCCAGGTTCACTGCCGAGCATGTGGAAGGCCCCCTTGCACTCCTGTGGGACGCTCCATGCGCCCCAGTATTGCAGCGTTCACGAGCTGCGCTGCCACCTTGAGGTAGAAAAAACTTTTAAAGCTGTGTCTATGTCCGAATTGCTGGTTCTCCAAATTGACATCAGATCTTCAGATTCGGATTTGGCCAAATCGAATCAGGGGCAGTGATCCGTATCAACGACTTGAATCACTGTCCCTGATTCGGGCTGTATCTGAATCAAATAGGGCCCTCTTCACACACACCTACATTTTATACTCATATGTGTTCTGAAAAGGCCTCTCATCATGACATAATTCCCTTTGTAACACCAAACTTTTTGAATTTCTTGAGTGACTGTTTGAAATTTAGTAGTTAGTAAGCTTATTTTTGCCTTTTTAATTATTTAGAACTGGCCAAGCAAAAATATTCCAAATGCTAACATGGAGAAGAGCCTTGCTAAAATCAAATGTTAAATTTTAGGGTGCAAGGAGACTTGAGGTTGTTATAAACAACTAATTCATTTTAAATTCGTATTTACTTGCATAGCCAACATAAATTTTAATGGAAATGAGAGTAGACTTCAGTCTGTAGAATAGTTCATCTGCTAATAATTTTCCATATTTAAGATGGAGAATTACTTTTGTCTTTACAGGTCTTTAGATTTTAATGCCTGTAAAAAATACATAAAAGAAAGAAGAGTGTTTTTTGGCCTTTTTTTTTAAAGGCTGTGAAGGTATGGAGCTGGTTAAACTGGATTAGTAACCTTGATCGCTGTATTTTTACATAACATTCCTCCATACTCTGAGTTGTCCCAAGGTACTTTTGTATTTAAAATACCATTTTCCAGAAGGGCAGACAACTAACCTTGTTCTATCTTACCTATCGCCTGGAAGATGATAGGCCACTGAAAAACCTGAATGCTTTCTTGCTCCATTTTCTATTTGAATTTTAGTATTGGGAGCAGAAGTTTTCTTTTCCTTGTGATCTCTTATTCAGACTTCGGAAAATAGCTGTTTTCTCCCACAAACCTCATTGCTGTAAGAACGTGAACATTTGCTTGTTTTGTTGTCCTTCGGCTCTAGCTGCCATGGGGTATAACTCTACTTGTTCAACCTTTCACTCATTTTCAACTTTGGGTTGTCAGTCCTTATGAATAACAGCAGTGTTTACCTCAGCTGCTCATCTCCCAGCCAAATAAAATTTGCATTATATTCATGGGTTTTAACTCTCTCTTCACATTGAAGCTAACAGTCTGCAGGTGCTTGGGAAAACTATTTCCTACTTGTGCTTGTTCAACACTAAACTTGCACTCCTGATTTTAAAGTAGTCATTCAGAGACCTACATCCCATTTCTTTTGTGTTTTTTATTTACATTTTCTCTTTTTCCTCCCTCCCTCCCTCCCCGCTTTTCCTAGATTTGTTTGTAAATGCATCACAAACAGGCAGCCCAGAATGAAGAAAGCAAGCAGGAGTGTTGGCTCAGCGCCCAAAGTGCCCGGAATAAATAAAACTCAAACAGTTGAAAAAGTGAAACCAGAAAACGGCTCCTCAGTGTCTGCAGTAACAAAACTCTCAAAAACTGGGACATCAACCTCTCTGTTGAAGGTAATGTTTAGCAGAGTGCTTTGATTTCTTTGGACAATAAAGGATTTAGAAGTCTAGGATTTTAATATGAAATGTGAAGTAGGGAAGAAGCGAGATCCACGATCTCTGAATGATAGAAAAGGAATTTAGGTAGTTACACAGGAGACAACAGCAGGTTACAAATATGGTATTCATTAAATTTTGTTTCTCCTAAAATACTAGGGTGGAAGGCAGCACATCTTGTGTAACTCAGTTTTTAACTGCCCTGTGAATGGTGCTTTCCAGTGAACACCATTAATCACACTTAGCCAGACGATGCCATATGCTGCTCTTGAATTACCTCCTCTGGCTGACTTGAATAGCAGAGGTGGAGTCTGATAGGAACTGTGTTCTGCATGTAAAGTTCCACTTCCTGTTTTTCAGGACAGATACTTGATACTTAATTGAGGAGGCTGCCTTTGTGGTATTCCCTAATATTGGTGACCAATGTCAGGCTTAAGTGGCCACATTGTCCTTGCAGTCTTTTCCATGCCCTTCTCATGTTGTGTAAAGAGTAGAACTCTAGCTCAACTTGTAAGTGCTCCTCTGAGGTACTGGAGCCAAGTTAAAAAGTCAGAAGTTTCTCCCTGAAATATTAGCAAATAGGGCAACAAGTCTTCAAACACATGAGCACATCCCAGAGCATCTGCTATTTGAGTGGTTTAATACTGGGAGTTGCAGTCACTGAACAGGGGGCAAGCAGGACATTCAAGTCAGATATTTTCCCTGGTTGTCATAAGAGGGGCCTCTCCATAATTCCTATAATTATTTGGCCCTCTTTGCTTACAGGTTTCCCTTACCAACCATGGGGGTTAGGTTCCTGAAAGTTCCCATGGCTGGTAAAATTTGGCAGGGCTTGAGGAGCAGGGGTTGTTGTTGGGGGGTGAGGGGCACCAGCAAGGCTGTGGGGGTTGTAGCGGGGAATGGGGAGTAAGAGGCATGAGCAGGGCCAGGAGGGTCATGGAGGGTATTTTCAGACTGTACCCCCACCTTCTCTGAAGCGTGGATACCCAAAACCATGGTTGATAAAAATGTGGTTGGCGAGGGAAACCTGTACACAGTTTTCTCTTTTAACAGCAGCACTTCTGATGGTGCTGAGTGTAGAAGTAGAATATAACGGCAATTATATGCATTTTAGGCATGGTAAGAAAGTTCTTAAATAGCAACTAAGTGTCGTTGCAACTTTGTTATAGCTAGGTTTTAGCTACATCATCCTATAACCCACAGGGAGTTATTGTCAAGCCAGTTGTGTGTCAGGTGTTTCCATCTGTATCAGTTAAAAGGCTGTACAGGTCAGTCGCATCTTACACGGGGGTTAGGTGCTGAAGTCAGCGTAAGGCAAAATCAGTGACTATACGCGGGGTGGGAGGGGGGCGGGGCTTGAGTTTGCATGTGGCACTGTGCTTAGAGCTGTGCAGCCGGCGGTAGCGGTGCAGCACAGGGTGGTGGTGGTGGTGGGAATGGGTGCGTGCCACCCGGCTACCACCACGCTGCCGCCCGGCGGCCGGCCATGCAGCTCCGGGCACGGCTCCCTGGCAGCAGTGGGAGGTTTTGGAGGCAGTGGCCGTCACCGCCATAATGGACCTCCAGGTATGCGGCAGTGCCGTGTGCAAACTCAAGCCCTGCCCCCTCCCCCCGCGTATAGTTGAATTTGCGCAAGTTAAATGCGCATATGATGCGACTGACCTGTAGTTTGTACATTTACTAGTACAGTACTGACAATTTACATCTACATTTATTGGTTTGAGAGACAATAATCAATTGTGCTATTTTAAAAGAAATGTTTTTATGTCCTTTTCTTCTTAGTGATTTTTCTATGAAGTCTCTGGCATACTGCTCTCTCCAATTTTGTTGTTTGAACTGATAAGTTTATGGAAGGATGGCATAATAGGATAAGGAATGTTGGTGTTTACAGTATGTGGAATCCTGTATTTGCATTCTTCTGTTGGGGTACAGGGGAAACTCAGCGTGGTAGGTATTGGGCAATCCCATGCTTCAAGGCTTTTGCTGGTTGCCTGCAAGGGGTCAGGAAGGAATTTTTTTTTTCCTCAGAAATGTTGCTGGCTTTTGGGGGCGTCCCTTCCTGCCCTTCCCTTTGGAAGACTTGGGGTATTGGCCACAGCTAAGGCTGGGATTTGACTAGTGGGCACTGATAGTGTCTGCTTGCCAGTGCTCAGAAAACTCTGAGGTTCCTGGCTGCATAGTCTTGCTTTTCTGCTCAAGGTTGAGCTGTTCATCAGATTGGAGTCAGGAAGGAATTTTTCCCCCAGGTCAGATTTGTAAGGACTATGCATGTTTTGCCTTTCTCTGTAGTTTGGGCATGGTCCTTTTTGTAGGATCTTCTGAGCATACATTAGCCAACTACTTCCCTATCGTTGTGATCACTGCCACCATCTCTTTTGCTTTTACCCATAACATATTATAGAGTGTCCATGGTGTTTTGGGTATTGTGCCCTGTAGTTGCGCATGAGAGTTTGAAGAGACAATTTTGAAGATTCCTTTGGGTAAATGATTACGTGCAAGCAAAGGAGATTGGACATAATGGACAGGAGACCAGTTCCAGTTCTTTGTTTCAGAAAATGTAATCTTGAACTTTAAAATTATATTGTAAAACAACAAATGTATTAATTGTATCATGTATATTGCTGGGCAGAAAGTACATATAGAGCTAAGATTGAGAGCATATCTATCATTTAGATTAGAATATATTACTCAGATATGATAATTATCCTCAAACCAAGCCTTTATACGGACCAAGGAAATTCTGAGTTCAACCTAAATTATAAGATGGCACTGTTCTGCCTTTTGCCTATACAAAAAATTAATGCAAACCTAGTAAAGAATGGAAATGCACAAAGCACTGTAACAACCTTGATTCCAACCTGTAGTGACAACATGCAATTAACCATAAAATTGTGATTTGTTTCCTTTTAAACCCTTCTGAAATATGACTACAGGCCAGTGTTAAGTTTGTCTTTAAATGCAGCTATGCCCTTTTCCATAGAACCTTTACTGTATTTGCTGCAAAATTTGGAGGGTATGTAGTGAGTGAGGTGGGACTCGGGGGAAGAGACAGTTAGTTTAGACAGTTGAATGCCATCTCAGCCATACTGGGTGCATCTACACTTGAGTTTTACTGTGCATTAGACTAATTTAATATGCAGTAAAGCATCACCATCTACACGTGTGCCGCAATTAGTGCACAATAGATTAATTTACTCTGGTGTGGGGTAGTCCCATCAGACACGGATACTATCCTACATCACAGTAAATTACTGCACTTAAATGCATGTGTAGATGGTGATGACAGGTTTAGTTTACTATGGCTCAAATTGAGTGGGAGTATATTCAGTTGCATTAATTGTCCACTGTTCTTTTTTCTGCCATGGAGTAGCTGAGGCTGAGAGAGTCTATTGTCATAGGTGGCCACCACTTATCTCCTTTTTTTGGGAGCGGGGAAGATTCTAGGTTTGGACATTTGTGGTCTTATTTGCAGAGAGCACTGAGAATGGTTGCTGTACTGAATATAAACCAGAAAACTGAGCACCAGCTGTTTTTGCTCTCTAATGTTCTGTAAGTTTTACAAGACAGTCTCAGCAAAATCCTAGAGTTCCAGTTTGGAGAGGCCTGAAGCTGAGTGGCTGAAGATGAGGCAATGCCATATCTAGATCAGGGCTTTCTACTGTAACTGAGGTGAGGGAGACCTGTGCTTTGAACAAATTAAGCTCTAAAAATTGCCAGGTTCTCTGAAAAAAGGGACTTGAGCATCTTGGCTGGACACTCAGGATTACGGTATGCCTCACATAGGCCTTAGCTCCATCAGTAAAATGAGAATAATGCTGCTACTTACCACAGGCTTGCTGCAGAGATTCGTATGAAATATTCAGCTGCTAAAATGATAAGCACCATAGAAAATCCAATATAGAAATCAATATTTCTGTATTCAGAGTACAAGTTGAATGATGTGTAGCAAATAACATATGGAACAATACATTGAACAATGAGGGTAAAATTAAATATTGTATAATTGCCCATTCAGTGAGCACTGCGTATCCTGTCCATAGTATAATGTAAGGGGTTCCTGCAGAAAAAATGGAATGTGTTCATAGATTGTAGAGTCGAAAGGGACCACAATGGATCCTCGTGTCCGACCCCCTGCCCCTGGCAGGAAAGAGGACCG